CTCTGCCCGCCCCCACCCCCATCCCTCTGGAGTTCCCTCACTCCTGACTATCTCCTGCCTCACTATAATGTACTTTTATAATCATCCATTTTTTCAATGTCATCCTTAATATCTCAGGCATGTAACTGAACAGGAATTTTCAGATTTTATTCAGCTAATTTCAAGAGCATGAAGGTCTAGTTCCAACAATAATGTCACTGCCTGCCTCCCTCCTCTTTGCCACACTCAACTTTTTCCCAAGGTAAGGGAGTGCATAGGATCACAGCAGAGTGTTGACACGTTTTGAGTGCAGGGAAAAATTCAGGCCTGCTTTCCGTTTGTTTGTACCGTGATGCTCATGCAGCGAAATGCCCTGGGAGCAGATGCCCCTGCGCGCGCCTTTCTATCCCACATGTAAACGAGGCAGTTTATTGACAGTGTCACTTGGGCATGACTTGACAACGACTCAAAGGAAAAAGAGCAGCACAGAATCCCGTGATTTGCTGCAAAAATAACATTAAAGACAACAGGTCAGTGTGTATTGTATGAGCAGACTCAGGGGCCTCCCTGGTCTTTCGGGCTCGCTGGTTTAAGTTCAAGATAAGTTCTCTCTTGGGCCAGACCAGCTCCTTCCATGAAGTCATGCTAAGTTTATTTTATCACCCTAAATGACAGTCGGTCCAGCAAACAGTGTGACATTTGTGTGCTTAGTAAGACATGGGCTACACCCCTAACGGTGAGGACAGACACCTACAAATAACATCCTAACTCTCACTTTTGGCTCCAGACTCTCCCAGCTTTTCCACACAGCCAGAAATAAAAGCCAGCTTAGTGCCAGGAATCCGCGTATTCTCCTAGGTGATATTCAGTATACTTTCTAGCCACTTCTACCTAAGAAAAGAAAAATATAGGTTTGATTATTAACATTTAAAAAAATACATTTTTTTCTCCTAGAAATTTCCTATCACTAGTGGGAGCTACTTCCCCCAGACTACTTTCGATAATAAGCACAGGAGGTTCCTCCTCACGGAGCACACAGGATACACTACAGCCCAGGATCACTGGATGGGGCGTTCCCTGCTCGGTCCAGGGATTTGCTCCAATAAGCTCCTCGTTCATTAACTAAATCTTGCAGGACAGGTGGCAGCAGGAAAGAAAAGATCACACTCCATTGTGTCACCATGATATTCCCACACCAGATCAAACCTCTGCATCTGTCCTGCCAGAGGAACCTCCTAATTGTCTAGGTGCTCAGCTTCCAGGGCCAAAAGCATGAGTGGCACAGATGAGCACTGCTGGTGTGCCTCAGTTGGCTGGGCTCTGTCCCAGAAAGCAGTTCTGCTCCTGGCACATACTTGTTCAATTCCTGGTCAGGACGCACACCTGGGCACATGCCTGGGTTGCAAGCTAGTCCCCATCAGGGCATGTGCTAGAGACAAATGATTAATGTTTCTCTCACATATCAATGGTTCTCCCTCTTTCTCCCTCCCTGCCCCTCTCTATAAGTAAATACAATCTTATAAGAAAAAAATTCTCCTTGAAGAATCACATAGGAAACAATCTGCTCTCTAAATGCATGCTTTTGAGAATTTTTTCCTCCAAATCACTCTTGCCTGACCTTCTATCAATCCCAGTAACATGTCCGCTCTCACAGGAGCCATCTGAGGACACAGCGACCTTGGCTACATTCCAGTCCCCGGGCATGAGGAAAATGCAGGACAGGATTTCTGTCCCCTGGGTGCGCTTAACTGGGGGGTAGGGTGGGGGGGCAACAGGAGCACAGGAAACATCTTCCATCATGTACCGACAAAATGCAGGCAGGGAATCAGTGGAGCACTGGATGCACGGGATCTGGAAGGTGGAAGGGAGAGGGGTCATTTCAGGTAACTGGCAGCAGTCACGTGGGCAGCCCTGCAAGCGGGAGGAAGGGAAAGGTCTGGCGACAGTATATACTGCATCAGCGGGGACCAAGGTCGCTGAGGGAGCACAGCCCAACTACCGGGCAGTCGTTTTTCTTTTTTTAAAGATTTTATTTATTTGTTTTTAGAGAATGGGGAAGGGAGGGAGGGGGACATCAGTGAGAGAGAAACATCATTCAGTTGCCTCTCACATGCATCCCAAACAGGGACAAACCCACAATCCAGGCGTGTGACCTGACCAGGAATGACACTCAACCAACCGAGTGACACCAGTCAGGGCTGGACAGTCTTGAGTGTCAGGTCCAAGGAGTGCTACTGTATCCTGTGAGTAAAGAGGGGTGGGAGAGTCCCTGAGGTTCTTACACAGAAAAGTGAGAGGACCGGTGCCGTGGCTGTCAGTCCTGTGACACAGACAAGGCATGCTGCAGGGACCAGAGGAGATGGCTTAGTTCCCTAGCAACCAGCGCTACTGTTTTCTGAGAAAGCTGTTATCTGAGGTCTTCACGGGGTGGGGGGGGCGGCACAGGGCACTCTCTCCCACCTCAAGGCTGCTTCTTCATGTACATTGTGCAGACCTTCCCCAGAGTGCCCCGGGGGCCCACCTGGCCACAGCAACACAGGCGTTAGTCTGGAGGTGTGCTGATTTCTCGACCTGCCTGTGGCTGTGGTAGGTCTGACCCAAGGGTGGGGTGAGTTGGGGAGAAGGAAGAAGTACTGCAGCTGGTGTCTGCATGACACCCTGCCCCAACCCTGCCAGGCCCAGCCTGGCCAGCCTTTGCACCAGGCAAAGCTCTAGGCCCAGACTCTGCCCCGCCCCAGGCCTCGGGGTAGGGATATGGGCCACGCCTTCTCAGGGCTAGGGCTCCCTGGCTAGGGCTCCCTGCAAGCCTAGACTACACCCTTACCCATTCCTTACTGCTTTCTCCTGCAAGTCCTTCCAGATGTTGGCGGCAGCAGAGGGGAGCACACACCTAGAGGAAAGGCGGCTGAAAGCAAAGGGTGTGAGCAGCAGCCTAGGGGAGAGGGTGCGCTGGGACAGAGGAGGGGATTAAACGGTAGGCCGTAGGTCTGAGTGTTAGCAGGGGTTGGGGGGGTAGGTCAGGGAAAGAGGCTGGGGGCCTGGCCAGGAGGCAAGGAGCCCCACAGGCACTGTCCCCTGGGTCTCGGACGCCAGGACTCCAGTGCCCCCGAAGCCAGCTCCAGAGACTGAGCTCACCCAAGATCCCATCCCAGGGTAGGCAGGCCGAGCCAGGTGGGCTTCCAAGCCAGGACCCAGCCCCAGGCAGCTGCCTGCCAGGGACTGCTTGCAGCTCTCTGCTCCAGTGCCGACTTTCTACGCGCTGGCCCTGCTGGGCCCAGCGCCATCTTGGCCGTCTTTAGTTTTTACAACCAGGAAGAGGCTGTTACTACTAATTACTATTGCCCTTTATTGCTCATTGTGATTTTCATTTTATAGATCTCATATTCTGACTTAAATGAACACCCACATATACAATGATTTTTGCCCATTTGGGAAATGAACTTGCCTTTTCTCAATCCATTTTTTAAATATTTTATTTATTTTTTAGAGAGAGGGGAAGGGAAGGAGGAAGAGTGGGAGAGAAACATCAATGTGTGGTTGCCTCTCATGTGTCCTCCACTGGGGACCCAGCCCACAAGCCAGGCATGTGCCCTGACCAGGAACCGAACCAGTGACCCTTTGCTTCACAGGCCCAAGCTCAATCCACTGAGCTACACCAGCCAGGGCTCAATCCATTTTTTAAAGTCAGGTTTATTGAGATATAATTTACATTTGGTAAAATTCACCTTTTTAAAAAGATTTTATTTATTTTTAGAGAGAGGTGAAGAGGGGATGAAAGAGAGGGAGAGAAATGTCGATGAAAGAGAGAAACATCAACTCGCTGCCTCCCACCTGATCAGGGACCAAACCCTGTCAGGCATGCACCCTGACCGGTTGGAGCCTTTCACCTTGCAGGAAGAGGCTGACCCTCTGAGCCACAGTGCCTGGGGCAAAATTCACCCTTCTGTAGTGTGCATTTCTGTGCTCTTGCCCCCAAATGTTTCTTTCTGCCCTTTGGTACTAAAAGCCTCTCTGTTAAGGAAGGAATTTCTAAACCTATAGAAAAAAGTTTCATGAGAGTTTATCTGAGCCAAGGTTTTGAAGACATGCCGCCAGCAAGATCTCAGCGGACTGGGAAAACGCCCTTGAGAATGGCAGTTTTGAGTTCCTTTCATGAATTTAGAATCAAAGGAGAGAACGTAAGAAAGGTACCTGAAATCCACTGGCAATAGATTAAGGAGGCAGGGGAAAGCAAAGTGGGGAAGTCTCTGGAATGGATACAAGGCAAAATGGGGCAACATGGACTGGTTTTACCTTGGTGGGGACAGGACACTTAACAATTAGCATCTACAGTACATACAGATGGTGTTCCGGGAACGTGGCACTGACGAAGGGTTCTGTGGTGTCGCGTTCTAGCGGTCTTGGGCTCCAGTACCCACAGTTGTGTTTTCGAGAAAAGAAAATTATTCCAACCTGACCAGTATTGGCTCAGTTGGTTGGGGATCATCCGGCAAAGCAAAAGGTCGAAGGTTCAGTTCCTGGTCAGGCCACATGTCTGGGTTTCATTTCTGGTCCCCAGAAAGGGCGTGCAGGAGAGGCAACCAGACATCTCTCTCTGACATCATCGTTACTCTCCCTCTCTTTCTCCCTCCCTTCCCCTCTCTCTAAAATAAATAAATAAAAATTGTGGCACAATACATATAAAATAAAACCACCTTAAACATTTTAACGAAAAAAAAAAAAAAAGAAAATGACTCTGTCATTTCAAAGGTATGTTATCTTAGAAACACAAGAATAGACAGAGCTAGCTTAAGGCGAAGATCCGATCTTTGCTAAAACGGACCTGGAATGTGAGCACCTCCTCGACAGCCCAGCCAGGGATTTCTGATAAACCGCCCTCCTGGTTTCTTTCAGTCACTGAGCTTGTCAGGCCTGGCGTGTGCTCCCCACCCCCACCCCCAAGCTTGTCAGGTTTAATACCTAACCCCTTTTTCGTTTACACCTCCCCTCACCCTCAAAACCACCACAGATCTGTTCTCTCTTTTTCAGAATGTCACAGAGATGGAATCAATACAATATGCAGCGGTTCTCAACTTTGAACTTTATTTAGGAAAGCAACTTTTGCTCCATTAATGCTTAACCTCTAGTAATTTTTGATCAATTCACTTGTGTGTCTACTGGGTATTATCATTTCATCTTACAGAAAGCTACATTTATTTTTCTTCCACACTTCTATTTGTGTATCTTATTTCCTTTTGTGGTTGTAACAAGCATATCTGTTCTTTAGGGCAGTAAGGAGGTACAGGATTCCAAGTGAAAGGCTATCTAAATGGAAGATTTCATAAATTATACTCAATTTTTTAAACTTATTGATGGGAGAGAAAGAAACATCGATTTGTTGTTCCACTTACTTATGCATTTATTGGTTAATTCTTGTACGTGCCCTGACCAGGGATGGAACCCACAGCCTTGACGCATCGGGACAACACTCTAACCAACTGAGCTACCCAGCCAGGGCCCAATTATACTCATTTTTTATTTCATCTACCAATAACAATCTTCCTAATGTCAGTTAGTTGTTGTTGAATATTAATAGGAAAGTATTTAACATTAATATGAAGGAAGGTGTTAATGTTAAATATACCTTGGAATAGACTAGTTGTGTTTTTGTTTTCTTAACAAATTAAACCCATGGAAACAATCCTTGTCGAAATATTTTTATAAATAAGAATAGTCCCAAGTATGAAGTATATAAAAAAGTTTTTTATACATATCTTTTTTTTGCAATCGCATAACTCTCTTAAACATCAGTTGACAAAATACTCTCTCCATAAAATTAGTTCCTTTGGGAAAGCACTTTCTCACTCCTTGTTGAAGTGGTATCTTTATCATCTTGAAGGGTCAGCTGAGTGGGACTTTGGGAAAGGGCTCTGTCATTTCCACTGTTCATTTGTGCTTGCTTTATTGTATTATCTCCAATTAGTGGTTATTCATAAGAGTCATTTAATAAGCCTTAAACACAGTCTTAAACTTAACAACACACAGATAAAATGCAATAAAGCAGATCACTGTCAGTTCAGATTGAGTCATTCCCAGTTTTCCCCCCAGAACTAGTGTGCAGGGCGGATTCTGGACCACGCCCCTCGTCACCATCATTCGCTCCAGTCGGTTGGTGCCCTGGCTACACCCCCACCAAGTGACAGGTACACTATGTAGGTCAGCATGCTCCAGAGACCAAATCCGAGCTCTTATATCAAGCCATATTTTAAATATTAGCAAAAGCTAAGTTTCTTTTTTTAGGATAAAAATGAAATGTACATAGAAATTTTCATATTTTCTCCCTTCACCTCCGAGGATGGCCTTGGACACACCTCCACACATCCCGCCTTGGAATACACTCGTCTGACAATTACAGGACCGTTCGGAAAGTCAGCTTTTGGTTCTGTACACAGAAATCATTCGAGAAGTAGGGCTTTCCACCCTGGCTGCTGTGGCTCAGTGGATTGAGCACTGGCCTGTGAACCAAAGGATCTCAGGTTCAATTCCCAGTCAGGACACATGCCTGGGTTGAGAGCCAGCCAGGTTCCCAGTAGGGGGCCACGGGAGGCAACCACACATTGATGTTTTTCTCCCTCTCTTTCTCCCTCCCATCTCCTCTGTCTAAAAATAAATACATAAAATCTTTTTAAAAAATAGGGCTTTCCAAAATGGCCAGCATCCCTAAGTAAAGGATTCTCTGAACACTGAAAGCATTCGAGCAGCAGCTAGATGTCTACTTGCCGGAGATGCAGAGCTGGGACAAACAGACTGGATTCAATGACTTCAACATCCCTTCTCTCACATCAGTGGTAAACACCAGAAATAACAGGCAGCAACCCTTGTTTCTATTTATGAGGAAAGTAACAAAATCGAGAGCCAGACTGGTAAGTCAAAAGACCTACTTAAGCTTGGTGACCTTCGGTAGGTCACCTTCTTCCTGGCTTTTGTTTCTCATCTGTGAGACGTGGGGCCAGAACTGATTCACTTTTCGAGGCCTCACACCACTCCAACATGCTGGGCTGCTATGATTCTCTCGTCTCCACGTCTTTCCAAATCTAACTGATTCATCTCGTACATCATCTGTGCAACTATAAATTAACTTGTGTTTTATTATTAAGCTGACAATTTTATCTGTAAGAACCAATTCATGGTTTCATGTGTTTTTCAGATTGTTGTCATTCATGCTTGGTTTTCTTATTCCATTTTTATTTCTCTTGTTTTCTTTCTAAATTCTAACCACAAACCCCTTTAAAAAAACATTTATTTCTACCCTTACCCCTAACACCGAGATTTAAAGCATATTTTTTTCTTTATACAAATGCTTTGGTATCATCACAAAATTTTTCTTGCATAGAATTTGAATTTTCATTAGTTTCAAAATATTATCCCTCCAACATATCCTCTACAACACAAATTTATTTAAATAAGTTGTTTTCATTTCCATTATATGTCTGATCACCATTTAATCCTATGTGACCTATTTCTATGAGAAAGAAGCTGGAACCCTGGCTGGTGTGGCTCAGTGGGCTGAGTGCTGGCCTGTGAACCAGAGGGTCACTGGTTTGATTCCCAGTCTGGGCTTGGGCCAGGTCGCTGGTTGGGGATGTGTGAGAAGCAACTGAGTAATGTTTTTCTCCCTCTTTCCCTCCCTTCCCTCTCTCTAAAATATAAAATCTTAAAAAACTATCAAATTATGTTTATATTTCGGTCTGTTCTCACATTTCGGGGTACTTCTGTTTCATGTAGTCCTCAAAATGGTCTTCAAAATGACTAAATTCAATACTGCTAGGGTTTTATTATTTAATGTAAATTTTATCTTTACATTAAATAATCTTATTCACCATTAACATTTTTATTGTGAAATTTATTTTATCAGATATAATGTAAGCAATCACTGCTTCTTCCTATTTGTTCCAGCATGACACAGCATACTTTTATTTTAATTTCTCATTTTAAGTATTTCTTTGGTACTTAAATATTTAGATGGTCAGACTTTGGCTTTCTAAATTAAAGACCTTTTTTCAACAATCAATCCTTAGATTTTCTAAGTAGATAAGCCTACCGTATGATAGTAATAATAACTTTGTCCCTTCATCGCTATAGTTACGCTTATTTTTAAGTTCTGTCCTAGCCATAACCACCAACAAAATGTTAATAGAATCAGTGATGGGAATATCCTCCATAATGCTTCCCATGTTGTACTCTTAATATGGCATTTGCTCTAAGTTTGCAACCCTTCTTTTTAAGTTAAATTGAGCTTCTTTATATTTCATAATTATAGTAAAAGTTTATAGAATAAATGCAAAAGTGAATTCCTTCACACCTCCTTTGTTTTTTTACCCTTAAGTAAACACGGACATGGACATGAGGGATAAATGCAATCTGACGTCGTCAGTCAATCTGATGACACATAATATGAATTAAATTGGACTCTTTTTTTTCCCTTCCAGTGAAAACTTCATTTTCTTATGTCAGATTCCTCCTAGTCCCTTTGTAAATTAAGAACTGAAGTGCACCCTGGCTGGTATAGCTCAGTGGATTGAGTGCAGGCCTGAGAACCAAAGCATCGCTGGTTTGATTCCTACTCAGGGAACATGCCTAAGTTGCAGGCCATATCCCCAGTATGGGGTGTGCTAGAGGCAACCACACATTGATGTTTCTCTCCCTCTCTTTCTCCCTCCCTTCCCTATCTCTCAAAAATAAATAGATAAATAAATAAGAACTGAAGTGGAACAGGAAAGAATCCCATGTCAAATTCAAGCAAAGATATTCACACTTAACTGTGGATGACGGGAATGCCATTTAACGAGATGAAGTCAATGACCACAGGTAAATGTCTGCAAATATAAGGTTTTCCCCAAGGCGCTCCCTACACCGCAATCCCTCGCAGTAACTCAACTGCCTTGGCATTTGGCAATGCCGCACAAGTGAATCTGCTGATTACCAGCAATATTACAAAATAAACCCAAGGCCACATAATCAAGAGTCACAACAAAGAAATCTAGGAATGCAGGTCAAGGCAAGAATTTGCAGCTGGCCAGATACGATACAATCTGCCTAGTTTTCATTTAGGTATTTGCTACAATGAATAAAATAAGTATCTCCTGAATTACTAGAAAAGAAAACAAGTATTACCCATCACCATCTTTGACCAGAAAATTAAAATATTTCCTGAATTTATGATTAAAAGAAAAAATTCTTTAAAAAGAATATTAATCATTCTATGTTCACAATTCAAGCTCTATTTCTGAATTTAAAACACTACTAGTATTTGTTTAAGAATCACACGTAGACAATATAGCTTTTGACATTAAAGTTCTCTGGGAAAAACCAAGACATCTTTTAATTTTGCTTTAACATCAAACTAATAGAGCACCTTAAAAAAAATAGAGATGCAACTTAAAAATTCAAGAAGAGCATGGGTTAGTATGATTCAAGAAGTGCTTCCAAAATTCAGCCACCTTGCTTCTTTCCAGGAGAACCTCCACACCTTCACAGACCTTTTCTAACTTAACTTTTGGAGAAGAAAACGGAAGACGGAACCCACAGCACAATGGTGCTTCCTCCTCGGCATCGGGCGAAGCCTTCTCATAAGCCATTCTATTTCAACAGATGCTTCAACTGGTCCTGTAGATCCGAGGACTGCTCAACACTAGAAATTAGAGATAAGACTGCAGGTTTGATTCTTGGTCAGCACACATGCCTAGGTTGGGGGTTCAGTCCCAGGTCGGGGCACGTGTGAGAGGTAACAGATCGATGTTTCTCTCTCACATCGATGTTTCTCTTCCTTTCCCCTTCCCTCCCTCCTTCCTTCTCTAAGATCAATAAGCATGATCTCAGGTGAGGTTTAAAAAAAAAATCCCTGTACAAATTATTTGCACTTTAATGCGAGAGTACTGTTGAAGTTAAATCAACATGTAGACTGGTCTACTAGAGGCACAGAAGTTTTTAAACTATGAGAAAAAGGTTTGTGCCCCAGCTGGTGTGGCTCAGTGGACTGAGTGCCGGCCTGCAAATTGAAAGGTTGCTGGTTTGATTCCCGGTCAGGGCACATGCCTGGGTTGCGGGCCAGGTCCCCAAGTTGGGGGAACGTGTCAGGCAATCACACACTGATGCTTCTCTTCCTCTTTTTCTCCCTCCCTCTAAACATAAATAAAATCTTTAAAAAAAAGAAAAAGGTTTGTAAAACCAAATTAGTAGTGTAAACAGTATTGTAAGGGATATATTTAATCCATTAAAAAAAAAAACAAGGCTGGCTCTGAGGGGTGTGGCTCCGTGCGCTGGGCGTCATCCCAGAAACTGAACGGTGGCTGGTTCGGTTCTGAGTCAGGGCAGTGCCTGAACTGCGGGCCAGGGCCCCAAGTTGCGGGTGCAGGAGGAGCAACCAACTGATGTTTCTCTCTCAGATCAATGTTTCTCTTCCTCCCTTCTTCTCTCTCTCTGTCTCCAAAAAAAATAAGGGTGTTTAATAATTTTAGCACATTTACTCAATGATTATCACCAAAGTAAAGTTTTCTTTTAAAAAATAACTTTTTTAAAGAGAGAGGGGAAAGAAGGGAGATAGGGAGGGAAAGAAACACCAGCAGGTGGCCCCTCACACGGGCCACCTATTGGATCCAGGAAGCAAACTGGTGACCCTTCGCTTTGCTGGATGCTGCCCCACACACTGAGCCACACCAGCCAGAGCTAAGAAAGTCTTCTTAAGGTTGGTCTCTACACCCTGTAACTTTCAGAAAGCCTTAACTAGCAGTTCATGCCTTTGAAATACACTGTATTGCTTATATCCTGAATGAGCCATCCCAGAGCGGAAGTCAATTTAAGGGCATCTGTGGACCAGAGCTGCGCACTGACCCTGGCCCAGCGGCATAATCCCCTCCGGTCTGCCTCACTGGCCACCCACTCCCCACGCGGTGGGTCACTTACTTCTTCTGAATAGCTTCTTGCCTAAAGCAGAGAAGAAAAGAGGAAAATAAACATGAGAAAACTCAGTGAACTAGAAGTTACTTATGGCCAGATGTATAAAGGCAGAACAAATGTCCAGCTTATATATCTCCAGCTGAACAAATGTCCCGCACCTTCTGTGTTGCTGCCCATCCTGGCCCAAGTCTGTGCCGTCGAACCTGTTCCCTGTCTGAGAGCAGGGCTGCTGCAAAGTGGATTCTGACCCGGAGGAGGTGACAGCATTCTGTCACGGAGTGTGGGATGTGGGCCCAGAAACCACATGCACGACTCGAATTCGGTTTGCAGAGAGCGGGAGCCAAATGGTCACATAAGTGACACGAACACACCCAAAGAATGAACTCTAGCTATTTAAATATCGGGAGTTCGATTCCCAACCACACACTTCCAACAGGTACCTAAGTATAATATCCACTACAAAAAATACAAAACAATGAAATAAGATGAAAAGCAAATTGAATTATAATTGTATCCAAATGATAACGGAGCAGGTGTCTTCACATTTCAAAATCTCCAGGATGATTTACATCCGGGGAGGGCTGGGCTGCATGGGGGAGTGTAGGAAGCGGGGCGCAGGCACACTTGCCTCCCAGTGAGGCGCGGGCTCCCCAGCAGAAGGCTCCAGCTCAGAAAACCAACAGACACTGACCCGGCAGGTGCTGGGTCCCAGCACAGTGCCAGCGTGGTCCTGGCACGGGCCCTGCCCTCCCAGGGTCTTGGGTCTCTTCTCTGAGAAGCCCTCAGATTGACACAGAAAGGTTCACAAATGGCAGTTCCTGCTCCTGGTCTCACCCTTCACCCTGGCGGCTGCAATCTCAGACACCTCTTCTACAGGGAATTCGTCTTGGAACCCCACCTGCCCTCCAACTCCCGCCTCCACAGGAGAACAAGCAGGAGCACCAAGGCAATGAGGGGCAGCCCAAGGACAAAGATTCTGTAGGAAGTAGTCAGCCGAGAGGGCATACTCACTGGTATTGCAGATGTGTTGTTATTATTGCCATTTTCCTCAAACTCTGCATTGAAAAAAGAGAAACAGAACATTTCACTTCCCCGTAGCCACATCAACTATGTATATAAGCCCAAATCACAAAAGAAATGATTTCTTACATCTTCTGAGTGTAAGATGGCATCTTCCTGCAGCACCATATTTCGAGCTGCCTGACCCAGCATCTGGAAAACAAAGCATGAAATGGTAACGTTCAAAGCTTCCGGACTTCCTGTCGTCTTCTCCCTGCAGCTGTTATACCCCTGCTCTCTCTCCTCGCCCGCTCTCCCGTATGACTGCGAACACACTAAATGTGATGAACGAGATAATGTTCCATTTGTCCCTGCTGAAAATCCATTCCCCTGCTGCTGTGGCACCTCTGGCATGGGATCGCATCTGCTGAAGGCCACTGCCTGGGAAAAACAGTGCTCCCCGACTGCCGAGCTCTCTGCACAGCTTACTAGTCAAGTGCCACGAGAAGTCCACAAAAAACACCTTTGGCTTCGAAAGTCCAGTGAGAACCTGACTTCTCATTCTTTAAAGGCAAACTTGAGATTTGGGGAGGTTTGAGAGGACTGAGGAGGCAGGGGTCAGGGGTCAGGGTAGGACTCAAAGGATATGAGGAACACAGCTGTTAAGAAATGGAGCGAGAGCCTGAGGGGGTGGGGGAAGGGAAGGCCTGGGAAGAAGCTTGGGAGGTACAGCGGGAAACCCTTGCATGAAGATGGCAAGATGGGGCCAGGGCAAAAGAAAAGAAAGGAGAAATGCGGGGGCAGATTTTCATGAGCTCACTGACTGCTGGGCCCTGAGCTCTGATTCCGATGGGTGGCCAAGTGGTCAAAGCGATGTGACTCAGAGGGAGAGGCAAGAAGATGCGGACAGAGGACTCCGGCCTACTGTCGCACCCGGACCCTGGCAGACCTGAAGTCCAGCCCCGTAGAGGGAGCTCCTGCTTCCTGCATCCTACCAGCCCTCCCGTCCTTGTTCCAGTAGAAGAGGACCCAGGACTTCAATTAACCAGGAATGTGTGCACTGCTACAGCCGCCAGATTCTTTCCCTCATGGCAACTTTTATTTATTTCTCAAGTTTTAGAATTAATAAACCTTTACATGCTTCTAACACCAAAACAATAAAACAGACCTTCCATTCTTGTCCCTTTCCCTTCCTAGTCTGTCTCCCCTATGCATAAATATTTTGGTTTATCTTTACATTGTTCCGTTTTAAAGCAATGGACAGATATAATATACATTCTACTCCTGGTACTTAAAATGTAACCCATGCTATGCCCTCTTCCACACCCTGCTATTTTCACTTGGCAGTTGCAGAGCTGGCTCTGCCGTGTCATCGCTGAATCTCTAAGTGATTTTATGCATGCAGACTCTCCACTGTACAGATGTCCCGTAAGAGCATTCAAAGCCCCATAGAGTGTGTGGACGTTAAGGCTGTTTCCAGTCTTCTGCTGTTATGAGCAGTGCTGCAAAAAAGGACTTAATATATCTTGGCATCATTTTGCCAGCCTATCTTGGGGTCAGACTCGGAGCACCATGATTATGATGGCTGGATCAGAGGGCTCTAATTCTGCTACATACTGCCAGCTTCCCCTTCCGTCAGAGTCACACCATTTTGTATTCCCACTCACAGTGCACGAGAGTGCCTGTCCGGCCTGTGGCCACTCTGAAGTAACAAACTCCAAGCCCCTGTAGATGGAAGATGGTGACTGACAACCTGATGGCAGAAAGAAGGGTTCTGATGGGATCTTCCTTCAGTCAGCCAGCAAATATTTATTAAGTTCCTGTGCATGCCAGCAAGAGACATAGTCACTGTTCTTACAGGGCTCACAACCAGGGGTTATGCGGAGGACAATGGCACCCCGGCACCCTGTGGCAGACAAGCGTGGATAGGGAGGTACCGGAGGGCATGAAGTGGAGGGGCTGGGGCACGTCAACCCACCACAGGGGCAGGTGTTCAGGGAGAGCTTCCTAAAAGACGTGTCTTCTAAGCTGAGACCTAAAGGTTGGGGCTTAGAGTTCCTCTTACTTTTACAGAAAAGTGGCATGATCAGATTTACCATTTTGGAAGTGTGTTAAGCAGAATGGACCAGGGGGCCACTGAGGGCGGAGACACTGGTTAGGAGAACACTGCAGTTCTAAGCAAGCAGTCAGACTGTCTGGAACCACAGAAGTGGCCATAAAGGAAAGGGGGGAGGGAGGCTGGGAGCCTGTTAGAAGATAGACATGGGACAATTTGTGATCTCCTGGAACGCAGGGGCTCCTGTATAATGACGCAGGGCCAAGGCCTTGCCCTTGACAATAGATGTATTCAGTGGCATATGCATAATTTTCTTACCTAAACCAACCACACACATAACGTATGGTCTGAGATTTCCATTTTGGGTTCCTTTAAAGTTGAACGACATGTTCAATACACCTGTAAAGCCATCTGAGTACCAAGTCCTTTTACATTTCAAGGAATTCTGATCCCAGGCTCTTACCACAGTCTTGCTCATAATTTACTGAATAGCAGCTTGTCTTAGTACTCATCTTCAACAAGTATTTCTGATTTTCAACCTAGTTTTCATAGCAACAGCGAAACCTCTTTTTTCATACCCACATTTCGTTTTCTACATCATTTCATTAAATAATGTCACAATGATAGCAAATGCGAGTGCCTCACACAGGTTTAGGGGAAAAAACACAAAAGACACAACTCAACTGGAGGAGAAGTCCAGGTGTGCAGAGGGGCACATCACTCACAAGCCTTCCCGGTGCCACTGGCAAAAGCTGGCGTGTTCTCCCCTCACACTGCGCAGGCCACGCTGGCCCCCATGCATTTCTTGGGCTCGTTCCCACCTCTCAGTTCCTGCACTTGCCTCTTCCTGGGAACTCTCTGCCTCCGTGCACCCGCACAGCTCACTCCCTCACTTCATCCAAGTGTCTGTTCCAACATCACACTCTCGGAGAGCCCTTCCCCGGCCAACCTACAGTATTTCAGTGAGCCTTTTTGTCACCCTCTATTCCCACTTTATTTTTCTTCAGAGCATTTAAAAACACCTGATTTTTTTGTACATGTTTCATTTGTACATGTTTCATTTGTTCCTCATCAAAATGGAAGCTTGCTAAGTACAGGGACTTAGTTTTGGGAAGGTTTTTTGTTGTTTGTTTTTTTTACCATCCTCTCCTGACACACAGCAGGTACTCAATAAATATTTATTAAATGAATGCTGGGGAATGAATATTTTACATATGGAAAATGTCCGTTCATCAAACAGAATAGCTCTGTGGAATCTGCTGAAGAGAGAAGTGATGCTCTGTGGGCTGCGGAGGACTGAAAATCGGTAAGACAGTCCAATAACCACAGAGCCGACCAGCGGAAATGGCGAGAACGTGTTGGCCGCTGTAGCTGTAATAAGGATCGTGTAAGAAAAGATCCAGTAAAAAGATGGAGTTCGGTGTGCTCTCCCTCTCCCAGGACTGTACCTTTCCCTTCCCTTCTTCCCCTCTCTCAGGCATGCATCTCCTTATCGCAAAGGGTCCCCGGGAGACTGTCAACCAGGGTAGGAATGGACAGGTAGCAGCTGGTCCCAGGCTCACTCCTGGAACCTGTCTCCAAGGTCCCTTTCCTCTGACTTCCCAGTGAGCCAGAGCAGCCCTATCTAGGCTCTCCTGTAGCTTCTCCTAGCCTACACCCTTCCTTCTTCACTGTCCCCAGCTTTAATAAATGTACTCTTCAAAAATAAAAATTAGGACTTCCGCCAAGATGGAGGCGTAGGTGGAAACTTTTGCTTCCTCGCACAACCAAATCTAAAAACAACAAAGTTTTAACAACAATAAACGCAACCAAACCACAGAAAATCGAACAATACGGAGTCTAAAAACAACGAACCACTCAGCTAAACTGGTGAGAGGGGCGAAGCCAGCAGCAAAGCGGGCCGGGCAAAAAAGATCTCCCCACCCGGGCAGAGTGCAGGCAGCCGAGGGCTCAGATCCCAGGTGCGGGGTAGCTACAAGTGGACCCAGGGAAGGCGTGGCCCGGCTGGCTGCCTGGGATCGCACATTTCCGCTCAGATAAACCAGTGAAGAAAGGAGCATTGACACAGACCACACAGACCCCGGGGCAGGGCGGTGGGCTCACACATTTGTGCTCAGATAAACAGGCGGGGGTGAGCGGTGAGGCGATTCGGGAGAGCGGAGAGGACCGCCATTGTCCTTCTCTGACCCCGCCACCACACACAGCATCACAAACCAGTGACCTGGATGGCCCCACCCTGGTGAACACCTAAGGCTCCATTCCTCATACGTAACAGGCACAAACAGATCAAAACATGGCTCAAGAACAACTCAGAGCCCCAGAGCCAATAAATCTAAGTGATGAAGAAATAGCCACACTTTCAGATGCACAGTTCAAAACATTGGTGATCAGGATGCTCACAGAACTGGTTGATTTTAGTCACAAATTAGAGGAACATATGAAGGCTAAACTAACTGAAATGAATGGAAATGCACAGGAAAACAATAGTGATGAAAAGAAAACTGGAACTCAAATCAAGGGAGCAGGCCAGAAGGAAGAAAAAAATGACCAAACAGAAAAATATGAAGAAACAAGAATTCAAAAAAATGAGGAGAGGCTTAGGAACCTCCAGGACATCTTTAAACACTCCAACATCCGAATTATAGGAGTACCAGAAGGGGAAGAGGAACACCCATGAGTGGAAAATTTATTTGAACAAATAATAAAAGAGAACTTCTCCATTCTGGCAAAGGAAATAGACTTCCAGGAAATCCAGGAAGCTCAGAGAGTCCCAAAGAAGTTGGACCCAAGAAGGAACACACCAAGGCACATCATCATTACATTAGCCAAGATTAAAATGAAGGAGAGAATCCTAGAAGCAGCAAGAGATAAGGGGACAGTCACCTACAAAGAAGTTCCCATCAGACTGTCAGTGGATTTCTCAAAAGAGACCTTACAGGCAAGAAGGGGCTGGAAAGAGGTATTCCAAGTCATGAAATCCGAAGACCTACAACCAAGATTGCTCTATCCAGCAAAGCTTTCATTTAGAATGGAAGGACGGATAAAGTGCTTCTCAGATAAGATCAAATTCAAGGAGTTCATCATCGCCAAGCCCTTATTATATGAAATGTTAAAGGACTTACCTAAGAAAAAGAAGATCAAAAAGATGAACAGTGAA